CTTCTCTCTTTGTATCAGTTATGTGTGAGAGATTGGAAGGCACATTGGCTGTTAAAGTTCAGCTTTTAGCTTAGATTTATGTGATGCTTCAATGAAACCCTCTTCCAAGGCTAACAGTTTTACCCTAAAAGCTGAATTCCCGGCTTACAGGTGTAAACACCACTGCTACTGTGCTGTGCTGTGCTTAGTCACTCCAACGTGTCTGACTCTTTGCAGCCTCCAAGGATTGTAGCCCACCAGGCTCCTCAGTCCATGAGGATTCTCCAGACAAGAACACTAGAATGGGTTGCCATTCCCTCCTCCAGGGCATCTTCCCAACACAGGGATTGAATCCAGGTCTCTGGTATTGCAGGTGGATTCTTTACCATCTGAGACACCAGGGAAGCCCAAAGTACTGGAGTGTGTAGATTATCCCTTTTCCAGGCAATCTTCCTGACCCAGGAATCAAACTGGGGTCTTTTCATTGCAGGCGGATTCTTTACCAACTGAGCTACCAGGGAAGTTACTGCTGCTACTAAGAGACTCTAAAGAGGTCTGTTTCCACTTCACAGGGACACTTTAGGAGGCATCTCCCTCTGCTTGGTTAATAGTAGTTCCTACTGCACTGAAGTGAATGTCATCCCTTTGTACACACGAGCAAGGGTTAATCTCTGGCAAGAGCTTGCTTAAACCACATGGAAATATCACACAGGTTCAATGGGTTAGATACACTGCAGAGTATTTGGATACAACGTGTAATTTGTGCAACATATTCTTATCAGCAGCCCTTTCCAGCTCATCTGTGGTTTACTGGAAGCTGCTTAGTTTGGAGTCTATTTCTCTACATTCTACTCAGAAACAGATCAAATGTTTCAGTTAAAAGGAAAGGTAAGACAGTACTATCAAATATCCCAGAACAGTAAATGCCAATCAATGACACTTATTCCATCAAGTTCACCTGATTACCTGGAGATGTCAAGTTTAACACCAAGACTTCTACACTCAAGCAGTGTCTGCCTTGGGGTCATCTGTTATGTAGCTCTAGGTCTTGAAATGAATGAGAGCCTTGAATGTCTTTTTTTTTTTTAATAGGGGAGAGTGTTTAAGAGTGTCCTAGTGCTAAAGACATTTGACCATCAGCTTGCCCATCTCACTTAGAAACTTAGAAGCTCTTCTGAGTAGCTTACAGCAGCTTGAACCAGTCCACAGAGCTGTGTTTTGATGAAGTCAAACATCACTGAATAAAGAACAGGGGAGGAAAGGGTAAAAGGCATGAACCAATAGTTCACTAATGAATGATTTTTATACTAGACATAATTAAGGTTGTTTTGGCATAGGTCTTATCCACTGGACTCACATGAAACTCCCAGGAAAGGAGAATGTATAGGTCTAAGAGAGGAAAACTGAGTCTTGAAAGGCATCAGATATTAATTTACTTGTGGTCCTATTTCACAGATTTCTACTTTTTTATTTTGGTGACAATCCAGAATGTGTTATAATTAACATTTGCTCACCTTACATTAGTATATATTATATCTTGACCCTATCACACCAACCCAAAGCAGGGGTCCAATGAACTGACGGTAACACATGAGATTCTGCCATTCCAGTTTATTGAAATGAGTAAATTTATAGCTTTCTTTGCATACAGAAAAGTGCACAAGAAAATAAGTATGTACAAAACAATTGTGTGGCTGGTCATCAGTTTCAAAAAATTTGTCTACTTTCAAAAATTCAAACTATCTAGAAACAATTGCCTCCAGTTTAGCACATTTAAGTATTTGGACATATAAAATATTTATTTCAAGTCTGTTGATAATAACTGAGTAGAAAGTCAGACATTGCCATACATGATCAGCTATTACCGTTCAACATAAAACCATAGGACTTTAGCTTGGACTACTTGGGGCTAATCAATAGAGGTTCATGAGGCCACCATCTTGTTTTGATCCTGAGCAGTCATCCTCTTCTTCCACCTAAAGATAACATTGTATGTGGTTGATTAACATCCACAAGAACCTGAGCACTAGGGGTCAAGAAATAACATTAGAAACCCAACATAAACAAAATAAAACAAAACTCACTATGGCAAGAACAAACCCTTCAGATCTGTGCCAACAATAGGACTGAAAATGAACTGGAAGAGTTTCCAAGATTGTGAGGAGAAAAATACTGCATACATTAAATTTTTAATGATAACACCAAATATTTGCTCTACAGATTCCCCCCCCACCCACATTTATCTTCTGACTGTGAAACAGTGGTATCAAGAAAGGTTTCCAGTTACCTGATAAAGGTCTGGCATGACCCCAAATAAGCACCTAACATGTTTGGCACAATCACATTTGGCTGTGATGTGCTTCTCTTAGGAATGTAGTCCTTCATTGCTGAGTCGAGTTCAATTTTTCCTCAGTGTGAACTGTTCTAGAACTTCAGCTCAAGAAGATAGCCTCTTATTCCATAGAAAGGATAAAGGTTGTGTGCATTTGCAACTCTAGTTACTGAGATTAGAGATTACTGAGAAGGTAGAGCATAGAGGCTTCAGACCTGTGAATCATTAGATTTTTTTGCCCCATAAAACTCTATGGTTTATGAAAGAGAGAAGCCCAGGAGCAAAAATGACTGAAAAGAGAATTGGAGGGAAAAGAAGAGGAGAGATGAAAAATGATTGTTCCCTCCTTTGAAATAGCTAGCAAGAGATAAGAGAAAGGACAATCTCACCCTTGAGAGAAAAAGCATCTTCAGAAAGAAAAGTTGTATCTTTAAAAACATTCTTAGGTGTGTCAGACTCCAAGGAGATTCTCCTAAGGAGAAATTGAACTTGCTTCCATTTTACTTTAAAAATGCTCTGTAAGTGATGGTCTGAAGCAAGATTTAAGAAGGTGCCTTGTTCTACAATTTTTAGGTTTAATGCTCTGAAACAGAATCCCCAAACACTATGAACAGTAGGGATTTCAAAATTTATTCAAAACAGTATGATCTGAGGGGTTGTGGTGGCTCCATCGCCCAACCAGAGGGTACATGGGTCACATGGGTTCCAGAAGGTTCTAGGGTCAAATAGACAAGGGTCCAAATAGGAAAACTACTTCGCTTACATTCGGCTAGTGAGTTTAGGTTCTTAATTTATTTAAAGCCATAGATTCAGTTTAGCGAAACAGAAAGTAGAAGGTATTCTACAAGTGGGAGAGGCAGCAAGAAATAAGGCAACTGATAATATGTCAAAGCTAGAACAAGGGCAAAGGTCAGGACTTGTCTGCCAATTAGCTTTGTCCTTGACTACCAAGGCCAACCTCTTTGTTTCTCTGGACAGTCAGCATGCCAAGTTCCTAGAGAAGTATGGAGAAGAAAAAAACCCATGGTTAGAATTTTGGGGTGGAATATTTAATGTGTTAAACATTAAGTCATTATTTATGTTAATAGTAGTATCTCCTAGGACTGATTCAAGAGGATAAAAAACTGATATAGAATCTGTAATAAAGTGATTAGCACAAGTGCTCAATAATGTTACCCATTTTGTCCTGTGGTAGTTCTCCTATTCACTCCCCCATCTACCATTTAGCAGGTTAACTAGAATTACCCTTCCTTCATGACCTAAAGAAGGAAGGGCTTCCAGAGAGAACTCTAGTCAATTCAATTAGGTGAAAACAATCCTCCTAGACTTTTAGTACACGTTATTCCTTTTGATTGGGTCATGGGTGCCTCCCCGGGAGAGGAGGCAAGAGTGAGTCCCTGTTAAGATTCAATATATCATACCATTTTATTAACATTGCAACTCATCTGGATGCTTGCTAAAATAAAGCTTTTCCTCAGCACCAAGGGGGATTCCTCAGGGCTAGGGCTCAGGAATTTGCCTTTTCAATAATCTTATTCTGCAGCCTATTTTATGGAAAAGCATTTTCAGAAAGACTGTAGTTATAGAATTGGAGTGAGGGGGGTGCGAATCCAAATGCAAATAAACTCAAATCTCATTGTTAGTATCAGACTTAAGATATGTATCTATTTAAGATAATTAAGTTCCACATGGGTTGAGAGAGAGTTTGGGTCAAGAGACAGTTTGGTAGTCCCACATGAATGGAGCCCAGGGGGCAAAACTGGGGAAAAAAATGGGTTTGGGTTCTTTTCATTCTTCCTGTTTTTCTCCTCTTCCAGCTATCCCCTACTTCCTCTAAAATGCAGATAAGCCTCTTCTCCAAAAAATGCAATCTTTTAAGATCAGATAAAGTTGCTTTCACTAACTGGTGAGAAAGAAACATACTCCCATCTTCACTCCCAGATCTCAATCTAAGGTAGTGGTGGTTCAGTCCCTAAGCCGTGTTCAACTCTTGCGGCCCCATGGCCTGCAGCCTGCCAGGCTCCTCTGTCCATGAGATTCTCCAGGCAAGAACAGTGGGGTGGATTGCCATTTCCTTCTCCAAGTCTAAGGTGGTAACACAATAACTGACTGAGGATAAAACCCACCGGTGGACTCATCTGAATTTGCCTTTCAAGGGGTTACAGGAAGCTGTCACCATTTTGAGATTTAATACCACCATACGATTCAGACCAATTTTGAGGCCTCCCCGACAAAGAAAGGCATATTGAATTGGATGGCAAAAGTGTAATCATGATTTCTTTGTCTGACCTCTTTGGTGGTGTCAGAAGGCCTTCAGAATTTGAAGCTTCTATAGAAAACTGAATAGTTACTAGGAAACTTTGCAATCACTTCAATAAGATAAAAAATCTAGAAGGTTTTTATGTGTTTATGGAGTTTTACTTCTATACAGAAGTGAAATATTAAAAACACAGGGCAAAAACCTATATCTATGAGTATATTACTATTTTTTTATATGTATAAGAACTCTATTCATAAATGCTCAGCTTAGTCATTATCGAATTAATTAAGCATAGTGTTCCATATCTTTTACTTCACCATTTCAGAAGAATTTTTTCTTTTCAATTCTAAAATTAAAATTTCACCCTTATTCTCTGTGCCACCCTTTCTTACAAAGCCTAAGTTTAGCAGGATCTTCTACTTACAGAAGTTAGGCAAAAGGATTTCCAAATGGATCTCTATATATATCGGATGATGTGGGTTGAAGAGAAGCCATCTATGGAAACAAAACCACCTAGTCAATAACTACAATTACAATGAAAAGAAAATACCTATCATTAAGATTTCTCGGATTCCTTTAAAAATCACTTAGGTCACAGACTAATCAGATATTGTATGGGTCTACAATGATTTGTGTTTCTGCTTGTGATTGACATATATTTAATATTTACATCAAAAGCAAGATTCAGAATTATGTTTGCTCCCCCAAAATGCAAAATATTATTTTTATGAGCTATGTCATTTTGTGTTAGGAAATTAAACGTTTGAAAGATTTTTAAAGCATAGTGTTTTGGCTCAATTTTCTTTCAAAGTGCTTTCCCAAGCTAGATTAAGTGAGAGACAAAGGACTTTTCTATATGATATTTGCTTCTCAAATTCAAGAGAGTAGTTCCTGTAAAAATAATCTTTCCCCAGTTTGAGTTGAGGTTTACACTGCAGTGGTTCTCAGTGATAAATCTTATTCAAATGTCCTTTACTGTCAAAGATACAAGCAAGGTTAATTCAGGGGGTGATAACTCTACGTGGTGTGTACTTTAGAATATCAGCTTCTAATAGTACTTACAGAGGCTGGTGATGAGTGGAAAGAATCTTTAGAGAAGGGGTTCTCAAATGCATTGTCAGCAGATTTGGTAACTGGCGGGGCACTGTGTCGGGGAGCTGGCTTTGGTAGTTCTAGAAGGTGAAAAAGTAGTCAGTAAACAAGCTTTCCTCCAATGCAAGCACAAATCCTCCAGTCAGGCTTATCTTAGAAATTAAGTTCCATATTTTTGAAACTGACATTGACCAAACAAAAATTATCACACCAAATACCAGGACTCCCAGTGATGATTACAAGCAAATTCATCCCTTCTTGGAAGAGGAAACCAGGCATATTCACTAGAAGCGGAAGAGATTCAGAATTCCCTCACTTAAAAGCACCTACATGGCAAACCTTCATTAAGCCTTGAGGCCAACACAGAAATAAAGGCTTCTAGAGATTCAACTACCTGATGGATTAAATAGCCAATAAAAGTACAGCTAGCATTCAAATACTGGTTGCATTTCAAAGCTCTTTCTTTCTACCACGTCTTCTAACTTCCCTCATTAGATGGGCAGTATGATCCATACATACGAGCCTACAGCCCTACATACCTACCTACAGTCCTCCGGGTGCCATAACCCATTGAATGTCAATAGCTCACAGCAGCCCTTTTAAGAATTGTCACAAGAGGGCAGCACTGGGCCAGTCCTTAGAAATAGCTAACTAAGGTAACCTGTTAACTCCATAAGGTAAGTGGTTAAGTTGTCTCCATAACCCCTGATAGATGAAAAGGCAAGAGTACAGCTATTAGGGGCCTGGAGAGGGTTCTGAGAGACTCTCTGGATTCATATGACTGAAGTCCTTGTGGGTGCAGTTGACAGAGAAATAGGTAGCTTACCATTGATCTTTCTCAATAGTTGATTAGCATCCAGATCATCATGGTCTGCATTCTCCTGAGGAATGCCAACTTTGCTGTTGAAATAATTGGAGAAGGCACTCGAGGTCCCAGAGGAGTTCTGTTCTCCCTTCCTTGCTGGCACAGTAGGTGGCTGCCGCAGTTGGAAGTCCTTAAACATTTCTTTCACTTCCTTGACTTCTCTGTCCCCAAGAGGGTCCAAGGCAATGAAGGCATCACTGGGGACATCCTTTGGAGGGCCAGTTCTGGGAGGTGGTTGAGGAGGAGTGACCAGGAGAGAGGAGAGCATAGAAGGGGGCTGGGTGGACACAGCAGGAGCTGGAAAAACATTGCCCTGAAAAGGATTCCCCAGAGGGCTATTTGCTGACCATGTGTTGGGTGTTATGGATGCCGACGTGCCCCACGCTACAGGGGGTGGAGAGGAAACTGAGACTGCGAAAGAGGAAGGCTGGTTCCAACCCGGAACACTTGGGCTTGTGGTGAAGACGATTGGCTGACTGAATCCTGAAGGCTGACCAGCCATCATGGCGCCCGGGACCATTGACGGGGACTGACTGAAGACTAAAGGTGCTGGGCTCCATGGCCCTGCCTGGGCAGATAGAACTGGCACACCACCTGAAGGAAGGAAGCGGGATAAAGGACTTGAATCAGAAGACCAGCTTGAAGAGGATTCTTGAGTTCCAGAAAGTCAGCTCTCTGGACAGCATTTATAGAGAGCATCTACATGCCAACCTTTATTAAGCCTTGAGGCTGACATGGTTCTTATGAGATTAAAGCACTCTAAAGATGAACTGGGCTTCCCTGGTGGCTCAGATGGTAAAGAACCTGCCTGCAATGCAGGAGACCCAGGTTCGATCCTTGCGTCAGGAAGATGCCCCGGAGAAGGGAATGGCTACCCACTCCAGTATTTTTGCCTTGGAGAATTCCAGGAACAGAAGAGGCCTGGTGGACTACAGTCCAGGGGTGGCAAAGTGTCAGACTCGACTGAGCAACTAACACTTTCACTTTCTTTTCAAAGATGAATTAGCTGTAGCACATATTCAAATGTTTGTTGCACTTCGAAGCCCTTTTTTTTCTACCACACGTTTTTAAACTTGCCTCATTAGATAGGTAATACAGTCCACAAGTACCAAGTCATAAAAGAAAATGAGCCCTTTTCATACATTTATCAATGTAATTCTAACAGCTAGAACAGAACCTGTCAGTGGTATGAATCTACATGTGGAGTAAATACATTGACATATATAAGCCATGCTTATTATGAAGTAGTTAATTAAGATAATCCACTGGATACTCGAGTCATTGATGTAATCTTTTCATTTGGCAAATGGCTCAGGTCTGGAGTCTTATGGAGACTAGCTATTAGGCATATACGTTAGGCTTTAACATGCTTACATCCTGAAGAAACCATTTCAAAGTTTCTTTTCTAGGCATCTGCTCTTTGTGGGGAAATGGCTCTATCACCGGACCCCTGCCATTGCTGATCTGTAATTAATTAAATCACTAAAATCTAGGTCTCTTCAATGCTCGCCCTCCTTTTCTTGAGAAGCTCATTCCCGACATCTTGTTCTAAAGTGTAGGACATTTTCTCTTTTGTGACTTCCCAAGTGTATTAATAATCCAGTTAAACCATCACCACTAACAGAAAACCTAAATTCAGCCTCATAACACTCCACAAACGATGCCCTGCTCTCAAAAACCTACTTGCTTTGGGCTTTGGAGCAGAGCAGTTCTTTAGTTATGAACACTTTCTAACCAAAGAAGGAAAAGGCCTTCAGACTCGGGTTAGGAATGTTTTTGTTTCCAGAGTGAGAGATATTTTGAAATGGTGTTCAGGGGATGATGGAGCAAGATATTCTATCTCGAATTTTCTTAGGACTGGAGCTTGGTGTTACTTGATTCAGCTCTGTCGTCATAGACCTCCTCCATCTGACCATGAACACACAGGGAGTGCTCATGAAGAGTGAGTGGCTTTCAGTGGTGGCTCATCTTATTAAATTAATATGCTTACTTTTGAGGTGAAGAAATTGGGTAGAAGAATATTAATTATTAAAGTTAGGAAGGTCACAGTCTGCAATAGAGATCAAAACTCAGGCATACCACTGATTCTAGCCCCTACCCTCCTGTTCTGTCTCCTTGACATCAAGGAACAGAACTACATTTTTTATTGGAGTGTTAATTAAAATGCTTATTTATTATTCTTGGCCACACTGTTTGGCATGCAGGATCTTAGTTCTCCAAGCAGGGATCAAACCTGTGCCCTTGGATTGGGAGCACAGAGTCTTAACCATTAGACTGCCAGGAAAGTCCCTCAAATACTTATTTACATGTATACAAAAATTAGACTTCATTTACACCAAAGAATATGCACACAGGCAGACCTTGGAGATATTTCAAGCTTGTTTCCAGACTGTCATAAAAGGGAATATGACAATAAATTGAGTCAACCAAGCTTTTTGGTTTTCCAGTGCATATAAAGGTTATGCTTATATTATACCATAGTCTAGTAAATATGCAGTAGTATTATGGCTAAAAAAACAAAGTACATACCTTAACTTTAAAATAATTTATTGTTAAAAATGTTAACCATCATCTGAGCCTTCAGCAAGTCATTCTCTTGGCAATAGTAACATCAAAGATCATCAATCACAGATCACCATATCCATTTAAGAATAAATGTTTGGAATACTGCAGAAATTACCAAAATGTGACAAAGAGACAAGAACTGAGCAAATGCTGTTGGAAAAATGGTGCTGATACACTTGCTTCACTCATGATTGCCACAAACCACCAATTTGTAAAAAAAAAAAAAAATCACTGTCTCCAAAGTGCAATTAAATGAAGTGTAATAAAACAAGGTATGCCTGCATTCCTTTCACAACCAATCAAGGGAACAGTTCTCTTAGATTCAATAATACAGGCTTCTCAAAGTAGGTTGAGTTTGAACAAAGTTATTGCTATCATTTAAAAAAAATAATTTAAACTTTATTAACTGAAGCCAGAGTCACTCACTAATAATTTACTCCAATTGGATGTACAAATTGGGTAAAACTGTACCATCTTTCAGCTGGGATGACTTGTGTTCCCTTAGGAAAATGTGTAGCTTTAGTCACAGACAGTATTAGTGGGAGTGGTGATAAAGGAGAAAAACATAGTGATATTTGCCAGGAATTAAAGACTTTCCCTGGTGGCTCAGACAATAAAGAATCTGCCTGCAATGTAGAAGGTCTGTGTGGGGAAGAACCCCTGGAGAAGGGAATGGCAACCCACTCCAGTATTCTTGCCTAAAGAATTCTATGGACAGAGGAGCCTGGCAAGCTGCAGTCCATGGGGTCACAAAGAGCTGGACACAACTGAGCAACTAACACTTTCACTTTCTTTCTTTCAAAGACTTTCCCAGTGTATACTTAGGCCAGCCTTCATTCCTGTCTACCAGAGCCCACGCATTGTGTTTCCAAGATATTTAAGGCCCTGCTGGAAAAAGCACGGAAAAAGAAAGTGTGGGTATAAAAAGTTAATTTTATTAACTTCCTGATGCTATATTAAAACACAGGGCAGCTAGTCAAAGCTTTCTACAATACCCTTTCCCCACCCCCAGTTCTCCAGAGGAGACGGTCCCCCAGCTGGGTCCAGTGGAAGCCAGACCTACAACCTTCCATGGCTTGGCTGAGGATCCCTGCGAGTGGACAGGGGCTGTACTGTAGGGCTCAGTTTGAGTCCCAGGTCCAAACTTAGAAGAATCATCAGTATTCGGCAGTTGTATACCCCAAGGCCTCAACAGGGGCACCCAGCCAAAAAGCTTTACTTCATCTGCATAAATTAACAGTTATAGGGTCCAGCTGTATTTTCAGGCTGATTTGTTAAATATTGGCTGTGAAAATTCTTCAGGGCCTTGATATCAGACTACAAAGCTCTGTGATGTGATCTTGGCACCGCACTGCATGCAAGCTCTCTGCCCCTCTGCAGGGAAAGCACCAACCAGCTCCCCTTAGGGGTGTATGAGAAAGGGCTGCAGAAACGGGAAGATTCCAAGAAATTTGGGTGCCTGGAGAGTCTCCTGATGGTGTAAATGCCAAGCAGGGACCTGAAATGAGCTGGCTTTCACACCTGCAGGGCTTGCAGCCACTCAGAAGTTGGGAACCAACTCCCTGTTGCCACCACACTGCAGATATGATTGAACTGATGTAATATGACAGAACCAAAATATTTTCCTTTGCAGGAAAACAGCAGGAAGAAAGAGTCCTGATGACGGACTCTGCAGGAGGCAGAGAAAGCCAAGATCCCTGGTCAATTTTTATAAAATAGGGAAGAGAGGCCCCTTCATTTATAGCCCCCCACCCCCCTCTCTCGTGAGACAGATTCTATTTGGGGCTTGTGGAAGTGCCAAGAAATAGGAAAACAAACAGAATCCCCAGTAGGGCAGCAAAAACCATTGTCAGAGTTTCTGAAGAACTGTTCCATGGAGGCAGGAAAGGACCGGAGGTGATGGGCAAAAAGGAGCAGGACCAGCTCTCAGCCACATGGCCTTTCCCAGAGTCCTGACACAGAGGGGCTCAGTGGTCCACGTGAGCTAATGACATGGTTTTGAATGCTGCTGGTTTTGACGGCAGCAGCAGGTCTTAGGTATGTGATAAAATTCCATCTCTTCCATTATTTCTGTGTTCTTTTCCCTTTCAGGTTTCTGTACTGTAGACTTATCTTCTAACTCTAATAAGGCACACAACTAACCAAAATATCAGCAAGGAGCTGCTAAGGCTTAAGTATTCAGAGACTGATCAGGATACACGCCTTACTCACACCCATCACATGAAGAAGGGCAGAGCTGAGCTCAGAACCCTGCACTTTATTCAGTGACTTACACTTGCTTCAGATTTCACTTACATCCCCCTTGAGGTGTGTATTCCTTCCAAGAGGGGCATTAGTTTAACAGGGGATAATAGGGCTTTGATTTAACAACGACAAGATTACATGGAAGACATGCATGTTATTACTTTTTCAAGTGGAGACAATCTTAACCCCATTTCTCCAATGAAACTGGTCTGAGCTTTAGAATCCCTTACAACTGTCTTCAGTAAGCCATGACAAGTTACTTCAGGTAGGTGCAACACTTGGAAATGGATTTCTTCTCACATGCCAGCTCAAGGAGCCACTCCAGCTACAAGTCAAGAGTTTCAAATGGAGGTGGATTGTACGGAAGTAAAAGTGGAAGAAAGGCTCCCTAGGATGTGCAAATCTTAGGCCACAGGAATTCCTATGGATATGAAATGCTTCCTCCTATGAATTACCATCTGATGAAAGTAACAGAGCCAAACCTAACTCCATCTCTAAACACCTACCTAGACCCGGGAGGGGCCCCAATGGGGCAGGAGCACTTGTTTTGAAGAGATCCAGAGGGTTGGTCTGTAGGGTTGCAGGCTGTCCTGTAGATTGTCCTGGAGGTTCTGAGATGGGAGGAGCAAAGATGTCTGCTGCAAGTAAGTCTTTTGCTGGAGACTGATGGGACAGAGAGGGATATGGAGGAGTTACTCAGGAACAGGGAAATACAGCTCTATTCTGTTTCCTACTCTGTAACTCGACTTTGGGTACACAAAAAGAAAAGAAAACCTTTTTCCTATTATTGATAAATCACTACAAAAAAAAAAACCCAAAAGACAAAACAAAACAAAAAAGACACAGATCCGGGCAGTGGACAGAATATTGGATCTTGGTGACTGATACAATGGAGGACACTCAAAGTGAAATCTAATTTGCTTGTTCACACATTTGTATCTGTCTGACCTCCTTATCAGCTGAACGCTGGAAGCTGGCAGTGAAAGGACAACTATAAGTGAGTAGCTTAAATATTTCGGTCATTCTCCTGGATTTAAATCATTCTGCATAAAGATGATACAGTAGTTTAATCATTGAGCCAGCTTGCATATTCCAATGAGATTTTTAAAACGAAACTTACATAAACCACATTTTAAATTGCTTTTGAATGAAGTGGTAATAGTAAATATATAAGTTTCTTTTAAGACATTGGATTATTCTGGCATTAGTCAGAGGAGACAGACTGGAGAATTTTATACCACCACCTGGACAGGAATGCAATACAAGGGGTAGGGGGTGTGGGGGGTGTGGGTTAGTACCAGGAGGGTACAAAGGGAATCATAGGAACCCTTGTCCTCCCCTCCCATTACATGACGATCAGACTTACCAGAGGTACAGAAGCATAGCAGCATTAAAAATGGAAAAACTTGTGTTTAGTTAATAATACGTGATAAGACATGCAAACGGAAAGTAGAGAGTGACAAACACTGCTGAGCGAGAAGCTTAAAAAGGGCGCCGGTTAGAGGAAAGTGTTCCTGGAGAACGACGTGCCTTATCCCACCTTCTATTTTACAGCCACACAGGAAACTACAATAGCAGCAGGAAAGAGAGCTTGCATCACACCACCCTTTGGTACCGCACATGCATTCTGCCAATGGCTATGTGGAGAAGACAATTCACCTTAGCAGTCCTTCTGCCTCTTCCAGGTTTGGTACTTTGTGGAGGTGGGATAATGGCTATGGAGTCATGTGGTGAGGACTGGACAGAGCTTTCCAAGTCCTGCTTTACGCCATTCGGGACGGGCAGTCCTTTGGGAGGGCTTCCCACAAAAGGGTTCGGGGAGGATTTGATATGGAAGCCGTTCTGTTCTCTTTCAGATACCTCATTGTGAGTTCTCACTGCTGGCTGTGTTTGCGTACTTGATAAGGGCCACGGGCCTGCCTGAGCTTCCTGTTTGCCAGTCCGGTTAGAGATCTGGTCAAATTGCTGACCAAAGTAATCAACATCCCCATTCAGGGGCCCATTACTCAGAGGGGTAGACGAGCTACTCAAATTCTCTTTCTTCTGATCTGGAGATTTGAGAGAATCAGACGAAGAGGGTGTCGATTGGTCTGGCTGTGCGAAAGGATCATCACGGAAAGGATCAGGATTAGGGGTGGGAAAGAAGTTGAGATTGGCAGAAAAGGCATTTTCAGGCAAGAAAGATGCCTGAGGCTTTGGTCGAGGAAGAGAGCAGGAGGTGATGCCATTTGTTAAGAACAGATTTTCTTGTAAAGAATTCTGATTGGTGTCGATTTCAGAGTTTAGATCCACTAACAGGATATCTTTGCTTTCCTATCACATTTGGAAAGAAAAAAAAAAGAAAGGGTTAGTCCATGTTGTGACTTCAAATGAGAAAGCTACATACTGATGACCAGGATTATAAAATTTCCATTATATTTCAGTCTTACTGGTTGACCCTTACCTCCTCCCATCACCTCCCTGAGTGTATTCACTAGTTATTGTAGAATAGGTCCTCCTTGCACCTCTCAGGCCCTTTTAATTAGGTTTCCACTTCATTCACCCTTCATTCAGTAAAAACTTACAGTTGTTTGTTTTACATGTCTCCCCTCACCCTTTCAGACTGACTGAGCTCATAATCATTGTTTCAATTTATGCCTTGGAAAGTCTTAAAGGGAACTGATTGTAAATCATTCCAAGTGACTAAGTATAATTGAACTTGAAGGAAATGACCTCAGACACCTAAACCCACTTCATACCTGATGTACACTCCTCTTATACCCCTAGAGTCACCTACTATCACCTTTCTCAATAAGTGAATGCACCGGCTAATATATTCATATTTTATAGTTTTGGCTGTGATAAAGTTTAAGGGTAATATATTTCCCTATAATTGGGTTTTCTTCTGGGAGGGGGTCAAAAAAGATTGTCCCCTCCCATCACAGCCTGCTAGGTATGCCTCTTTAAATACTTAGGGGTCTTTTTGAAGGTGCTGCCAAGTTGGATCTCTCATTTTCATCATCTGAGTCTCTCTTTTGGACATAACTTTTTGTCTACATCCTTCTCAGAACATGATACTCAAAATACTGATGCAATCTAATAATTATATCTTTTGTCATAATACAGCTTAGCATTGCTTGTGTTGTGACAGTAATCTCATCTCTTGTTGTTCAGTCGCTAAGTCTTGTCCAACTCTTAGGGACCCCAAGAACTGCAGCCCACCAGGCTTCCCTGTCCTTCCCTATCTCCTGGAGTTTGCTCAAACTCATGTCCATTGCTGTCAATAATACCATTAAGTAATCTCATCTATTCAGTGGATAAATTCAACTAATTTTAAAGTCATCTTTAATTTATGTATAAGGTGGAGACATGGGTTTAAGAGTTAATTTGAAAGACACACCAAATTCTATTCCTTCTCTATCATTTTTCAGATACATTAATTATTTGAGTTCTCAATTGTCAGATAAGACATTCTTCTCAACATAAAAGCAGCAAATTTGATAAATCTGACAGGTCTTTATTCAGGTCAATGATACAACTAATTAAGATTCACCCTAGGATACAGCTGTCATACTGACAGACCTTCCTTCTGATTGACTGATCAATTAAATACTTAACTATGCTAGCAATAGAAGAAAATAAACAATAAAAATTGCCCAACTGAAATGGAATCTAATTTTCTATCATTAGCCTGGGCAGATTATTAAATATTTTGGTCACTGGGACAATGATCAAGACATCCTCAAGGGAATATAAAATCCTCAAACCAGCAAATAAAAAGGGAGATTGAATAGGCTTTCTCAGCTTTCAGAGAAAAGAATAAATTTTTAAAAATTTTAGGTCCTATATCAGATCTAATTGGTATTTATCTTTTGGCTTCCTTTACTGTTAGGGATAAAGATACAATTTTTAAAAAGCCAATTTTTCTCCTGATAACCAGAAGAACTTGTCAGAAGAGACAGCTTGTGATTACAAAAAAAAAAAAAAAAAAAAAACCTTAAAAAAAAAATCAAAGAAATTGATTGGAAGATCTCAATGTAGGGATCTTTAACAATCAAAAGGTAGGACAAAATGTATTACAAAAGCTTGTGATTTCAATATTTATTCATTTATTATGAGCCACCTCTGGATTAGAACAGTTGGGTGTTCACAGCTGGTAGGGTTCTCCTTCAAATACTTCAGAAGAAGTTCTGAGGACACGAAACAGGAGCCACAATGTTAGACTTCTGAATAGTCACCCTATAAGTAAAATGTATAAGGCTCTCCTCAGGTTGCGTTTATTGTTAATTCAAAATTAAAAACCCACTTCATAGACTACAACTGAAAAATGTAAGACTCCTCATCTACCTCCTCCGTCAGCATTTATTTAATTCCGCATTGGACTGTAAACGTAAACACTTCATCCACTTGGCTGTCATGTGAGCATCTGAGCGACAAGAACTAGTGACATGAACATGAAATCTAGTCCTTGCTCTTAGGAGGCTCCAGTAAGAAGGGCAAGCAGGCAACCAAGAAGGTGTCTGCACAGACCAGGTTTTAAACACTGAGTTCAGTAGACTAGCTTTTCTTCAGGTAATTCATCTTGCCTAACCATTCCAGCCTACCAAACCCTGGGACTCCTTGCTTAAAGCCTTTGGGGACTTCCTGCTGCTCCCCATTTCAAAATAAACTTCATTAACCAGACTTTCAAAATGACCCACAATGGAGGTGAGTCACTTGCTTTTAACCTAACCACTACTCTCTACTTTCCTACATACTTCAAAGACCTAACTCAAGTTCAGATTCTTTAAAAAGCTTTTCCTCAATGATCCTTCTATTTCAGCTTCACTTGTGCCCACCCATTGCATCTGATATATACATGACACTGTGTTTTGCGCCCTGATCCCATCCCCGTATCAGATTTGATGGGGGAACCACATCTTATGCCTTTTTTCTTAATAACCAGGCTTTCAAATGGTAAGGTTTTTAAAGTTAAAGGTCATGTTTTTTTGTTCTTTTTTTTCTTTTCTTCTTCTTCTTATGAGATACAGTATGGAAAAATATTGTTCAAGTGATTTTGTGATAAAAATTACATAGTAAGGCAAGTCACTTAGTTTGCAGTATGAGTTTTACTTGAAATGCAAAAAACCTATTCTTATAAGTGTTGGAGGGAGGCACAGATGGGTTAAGAAACTGCTCATAAAGTCTAGGTAATTTAGATTTCTGTCTCTCTTCATCTCTTTCAGAGCAACTGTTGTGAAATTTCAAAATTTTTAAACAGATTGGTTTTATCGAGTAGAAATAAATCTATTTCATGACTTATGAATATGGAGTCATATGTAGAAACACACTGGCAAAGTCTAATGAGCACATAATTAGCACCATTAACATTCTTTTACAGATATCATCACTTTGATGTTATTTATCATTTAAATTTACTGTTAGTTTAACTAAAACTTGCACTTTATTTCTATAAGCCAAAAATTCCTAGAATGCACAAAGTCTAATATAAACAAGACTTAAGATTACTCCTGTTTTTCTTCATTTCATTTTTTAGAACTTTCTAGAATTCTACAGAAGCACATTAAACATTCAGTGCTTCCCTACCTATCTCATCTCACTGGAATTCTACATACATTGAGTGTTTTGACCTCTTCCAATATACTAGTTGTTTGAATATTGTTGGAAAGAAGGTTGTTCAAGATGTCAATTTACTTTGGGGAGGGAGCTTCCCATGAAGGAGTGGCAAAGTTGCCTAGCAACCAAAGAACCTCAGAGCAAGGATGGACCTTTCAGGATTATCTAATCTGGTATTTCAAAAAGTTTATCTTTACAATAGTAACAAACATTACAAAGAATGAAAGGTTTCACAGACAAATGAGTCAGGACTTCCTACTTGAAAGAATATTAAATGAGCTTCTCTACTGCAGGCTTTTTAGGGTCACTAAAATGCTATGCTTTGCGTTTTTGATTCTCATAAAGGTGGGGGGGGGTAGAGATGACTATCTGCAGTCCCTGCTCCTTCCCGTCTCACTGGGCCTAGGTATTTGTGTGAAATTTCATAAATATGCCATTCTCTGCAGTACTCCATCAAGCAAGACTTTCACCACTTCTCAGTCTGCTGTTTCTCTATCTATGACCTTTTTGGTCACAGAGGTTTGCTTGACAGTTCTACAGGAGAGTCCCAGATAAACATTCTTCCCATCATTCTAGACTGACACCCTTTTTCTTGAGTTATGTCTAGGTGCTTTCTCATAATTTATGTTCAAGTCTAGAAACTCACTTGCTCAGAGGCATTATCTGAACCTCTAAACTAAATAAAAACCTTGTAAGTAATATCAACTGTTAGGCTTTGTGATTATTTTAACATTGGTCTCCCTGCTAGACATTAAACTCCATGACGTCACTGGATTATGAATCTCACTCCTGTACCCTGCAAACAGCAGATACTCAAGAAACTGTTAAATAAATAAAAAAGTTTTAAGAAGACATTCAAACTTACAAGTATTTTCACTTGAAGCCTGTTTTAGAAGGTCTGAGACTTAGGCTTTAGCCTTGAAACTGAACCTCTGCTTGGGTAGATGAGAGGTTTTTTGAATCACCATTTCCTTATTTGTAAAGAAAAACATTGCTCCATTCTCAGAGTTGTTACAGATCAATAATAATAAGATTTGATATACTATAATATCCTGTAAAGAATGAGCATCTTTTAAAACAAAGACAAGCTTTGGTTAAACATAACTGAGCCTCTTAATTGTTTGGTCTTACTTTATACCAAGCTTATGCCGCCAAATTACAACAAAAGAATAGGAAGAAAAAGAAGAGGCCAGGAGTCTACAATCAGTCATCTAACAAACATATTTCCTTCAAGTTGGCTTACACCAGGGATTAATATTCAGCTCCTCCTTCTGATCCTAAGTAATACCAAGATGGACTACATTGCCTGACCTATTGCTCAGATTTAACTTCTAAGCAATATTCATGTGTCTGATGTAGTGCTGATAGGCTCCTATGGTGACTTAAGATGCAAATTTGTTCTAGTAACCATTTACATTTTATGCAGAAAAATCAACAGTCACCTTCCAAGTTTCAATGAAATGCTCAAGATTTCTGGTTAATTGCCAATTTGAGTTATAGATGCCATTTCCATTACATTGCAAATTTAAAAACAGACACTTACTGTTGGACTACTTAGGTCAGGAGGTGTAGACATGTCCCCAAACAAATCCATCTGGTCAACACCCTTAAAAAAGTATTTTGATTAGATTCAGATGTGTCTATTAAAAAGGATTATTTTGTATATTGTTGTAATTGCTTCCTAAGCTAAAGTTTAGGAAAATAGTTGTCACAATTGGATTTTCACTTATCCAATACAGATTTGATATTAGGTTAGTTAGGTCAGGTAGTGTAGACAAGTCCCCAGACAAATCCACCTGATGCATACTTTTAAAAAAGCATTTGGATTAGATTCAAAAGTTTTTACTAAAAAGATTACTTTGTATACTGACATAAATGCTATACTGACTGTTAAAGAGTTGTCACAATTGGATCTTCATATAGATTCCATACATATTCGGTATTAGCAACATCATTAGGAAGTAAAACCCGTGTTCAGGTAAGTAAAAATCATAAAAATTCACATACATACCAATTTTAGTTTGCAAGGTGGGTCATCAAGATTCATTAGGGCATCACTCCCATTCTGAAAGACGGCAAATATTAAAGATTCAGTTGGTGAGTTTTATCTATGCAATTTAATTTCCTAGTGTATTGCCTTATTAGCAGTTAAGATTTTGGCACTAATCATTCAACTGTATATCTTCTAAGACAAAGGGTCATGAACACACAGTAATAAGCCAGGAGGGAAGTATGCTTGGGTAGATGGCAAACAGGGCTTATACATATGACACATGCAATTCACAAGAACAAAAGATGCTCTTTTACCTCTACTGTTTTGTTGGCTTCTTCCATCTAAAAAGAGAGACACAAATTCAATGATCTTAATAAATTATCGGTAAAGTGAGTTCAAAGTGAAAGTGACAGTTGCTCAGTCATGTCCGACTCTTTGCAACCCCATGGACTCTACAGATGGTATAGTACACCATCATGGAATTCTCCAGATCAGAATACTGGAGTGGGTAGTCTGTCCCTTCTCCAGGGGATCTTCCCATCCCAAAGATCAAACCCAGGTCTCCTGCACTGCAGGCGGATTCTTTACCAGCTGAGCCAGAAGGGAAGCCCAGGAATACTGGAGTGGGTACCCTATCCCTTCTCCAGCAGATCTTCCCGATCCAGGAATCGAACATGGGTCTCCTGCACTGCAGGTGGGTCCTTTATCAACTGAGCTCTTAAGGAAGCCCCAAGGAAGTTTAAGAGGAAAATAAATATACCTATAGGTTCACAGGCATAAGGCATAAGAGAATCTTGCATTTGATTTCTGCCCTACATTCCCCGCCTCTCCTCACATCAATACTGGATTTGAATAGAGCTATTAGACTTGGTACTCATGTACAGTCCTTGGAATCAATGTGAAACTTACAAGGAAAAAAGACAAGAGTCAGGGACTGGAAATCAGAAGGGCCTAACTATAACACCCATCTATTGCCCTATTGGAAAGAAGAGAAATACATTTCCTTACATTCTACAAGTTGAAGAGCCACAAAGAAGCCAATTTTCCAGAGAGGACATATGTTCACATAATGTACAGACACAGTCTTGAATATTGTATTAAGTTTAATAGGGCCTGTATGGTACAGTACTTGCCTTTTTCTTTTCTTCTTCCTTTTTCTTTGTATTATAGATAACTTGGAAAAGGTCTTTCAGATCAATGACTAACGGCTCAGCCTGAAGCAAGACAAAGCATCTTTATCAGCATTTTAATCTGTTTTCTTCCCTTTGCTCCTCATCACTTCTGATTAGTATTAGTTTTCTTCCTTTCTCTTAAAGCTCCTTCCTACCCTCCTCTGGTCTGTGGGAGATTTCCACCACTCTCACCCCTACCCCCAGAAACATAAAGTATATAGATAAAACAAGAAGTATTACTATATTCTTCCAAGTCCCTTCAAACTTTTTGGGAATAATTCACTATTGTTCTAAAATCAGCAATGACCTTATGACAAATCCATTCTGACAGCCCTTGTGCCACACATTACATGGGTATCAATTTAAAGATCCCTTAGACCAATTAAAGAGAGTCATCCTCTGAAGCATCGTTTAGTTCTCCTACATCCAACTGTTTCCAGCAAGTTCTCTAGTTGAGAGACAGACACCCTTATGCTTAAGTCCCCCTCCAGGCATACCTCAAGGATCAGAGCTTACCTGTTGCCCTGTTTTTATGGCAAAAAACTGGTGTTGGCCTTCTCCTCCACACACATAACCAAATGCTCGGTTATCTGTCACATCACGGGCAATGAAAGAAATCTTATTTACTGGATGTTCATGTTCTATTACCTTAAAAAGGAACATAAAAAATGATGTATTGAGAAAACTAGAATCTATTTGCAGGCAAGCATAACTAAGGATCAGATACCTGGGCATATATGAAAAGGCTAAAACATCTGAATATTTTTCCCTCCTGATTGAAGGCCACATTTATCCTTGCTAGGAGGGGTTCAAAATAGGAAACAAACAAACAAACAAACAAAAAAGAGTAGAAAACAGAAATAGAAAGAATGATCCTTCTTAAAATATCTATACTTGAGTCTCTCTATCCCAAAGACATGATACCAAATCACAAGGAAGAACTGAGGATTAGAAGACCAAGATTTTCTTAAGCAAAGATGGGACATATAACCTCTAAAGCATTCCAAGTAGGTCTGCTTTCCAAGTTCATTCAGTTCAGTCGCTCAGCTGTGTCTGACTCTTTGCAATCCCATGGACTGCAGCATGCAAGGCTTCCCTGTCTGTCACCAACTCCCAGAGCCTCTTCAAATTCATGTCCATTGAGTCAGTGATGCCATCCAACTATCTCATCCGGTGTCGTCCCCTTCTCCTCCCACCTTCAATCTTTCCCAGCATCAGGGTCTTTTCCAATGAGTGAGTTCTTCCCATCAGGTAGCCAAAGTATTAAAGTTTCAGCTTTAGCATCAGTCCTTCCAATGAGTATTCAGGACTGATTTCCTTTAGGATGGACTTGTTGGATCTCCTTGCTGACCAAGGAACTCTCAAGAGTCTTATCCAACACCACAGTCCAAAAGCATCAATTCTTTGGTGCTCAGCTTTCTTTATAGCCCAACTCTCACATCCATACATGACTCTTGGAAAAACTATAGCTTTGACTAGACAGACCTTTGTTGGCAAAGTAATGTTTCTGCTTTTTAATATGCTGTCTAGGTTGGTCATAGCTTTTCTTCCAAGGAGCAAGCGTCTTTTAATTTTATGGCTGCAGTCACCATCTGCAGTGATTTTGGAGTCCGAAAAAATAAAGTCTCTCACTGTTTCCATCGTTTCCCCATCTATTTGCCATGAAGTGATGGGACCAGATGCCATGATCTTAGTTTTCTGAATGTTAAGCTTTAAGCCAACTTTTTCACCCTCCTCTTTCACTTTCATCAAGAGACTCTTTAGTTCTTCTTCACTTTCTGCCATAAGGGTGCTGTCATCTGCATATCTGAGGTTATTGATATTTCTTCCAGCATTCTTGATTCCAGCTTTTTCTTCATCCAGCCCAGCGTTTCTCATGATGTACTCTGCATATAAGTTAAATAAGCAGGGTGACAATATACAGCCTTGATGTATTCCTTTCCCTATTTGGAGCCAGTCTGTTGTTCCATGTCCAGTTCTAACTGTTACTTCTTGACCTGAATACAGATTCCTCAGGAGGCAGATCAGGTGTTCTGGTATTCCCATCTCTTGAAGAATTTTCCACAGTTTGTTGTGATCCACACAGTCAGAGGCTTTGGCATAGTCAATAAAGCAGAAGTAAATGTTTTTCTGGAGCTCTTTCTTTTTCAATGATCCACTGGATGTTGGCAGTTTGCTCTCTAGTTCCTCTGCCTTTTCTAAATCCAGCTTGAACATTTAGGATTTGAAATAGCTCAACTGGAATTCCATCACCTCCACTAGCTTTGTTCACAGTGATACTTCCTAAGGCCTACTTCACTTCGTATTCCAGGATGTCTGGCTCTAGGTGAGTGATCACACCATCATGGTTATCTGGGTCATGAAGATCTTTTTTGTATAGTTCTTCTGTGTATTCTTGTCACCTCTTCTTAATATCTACTGCTTCTGACTTTCCCAACTCAAACTCAAGTGAATGGCATATCTAAGCTAGAGGAATGTTCACAAGGATTCTTTGACAATGGCTCAGCCAGGTCAGAGGACCATCCTAAGTATTACTGGGGCAATTACCCCCGGGACATTCTGGAAGTCACCAAATTCTGTCATCAAGTATTTACTAACCTCACTTAGATGTTCATGTCATTATCCAGGAATGTGGTATGAAGGGGGCTTATTGATTTAGTAGTGCCTTCCCCTCAGTTCCCTACTCTCTTTTCTCTTGACCCTTTCAAGTAGATAATAGGGCTCAACTCTTGAGCATATTATTATACTGTTATATTAAGCATATTATATATAATATATAATATAATATTATATTGGGCATATTAGGAAGTTTGGGAGTAAGAGAATGCTTGTGAGGAAAATCTGTCACTATTCTCTGGCAGGCTTATGAAAATAAAAGTCAAAAGATAAGGGACAGTAGAGACAGCAGTGCATGAAGGTAGCAGGATGGCTAAGCTGTACCAGGATTCCAGGGTCCTAAGTCTGACCAATGGATTTTTGCATATTAAATAATGGGAATCTCTAGGAAGGGCTGAATAGCAATGGGAGATCTCCCCACAGTATCCTGATACAATGAACTATTGTGAAGCAATAAAAAACCATTTTAAATGGATGAATCTAATGTTATATTGAGTGGAGGGAAGAAAAAAATCCCAGAACACTTGAAGTATGATAGTTTTTTGATAAAACTCAAACAAACCAAAATTAAGAAAGACTATTCATGTGATAGAATAATAGCAACCACAGAAAATGAGCAAGGTTACACCTATGGGGTGAGAAGGAATGGGAGAGGGAAACAGAAAGGAAGATGTTTTGTTCATCAAGTTCACCCATGACCAATATATTAAAATAGACCCATACACAGATCTATGACAGAATCACAAACCAGGGATAAGGATTAATCTCTTAGTCCAAAAAATACCTGACTGATACTGGTACCTATGGTATACCGGTGTTGAGGTTAGACTTATTGACTTGAGGTTCACATCTATTACAGGAAATAAATTTCAAAGTAAAGTATCATGACTCCGTACCTCCTACCCTGTCTGTGTTTTGCCTGTTACTCTTGGAGAAGTGTAACAATATGTACTATTTCCTTTTCTTTTCCTACAGAATTTTGAAAAGGTAAAATGGCAGCTGAAATTGACGCCACAAATTGTCAGAGTCAGATGGTCATAAAGGTGTCAGCGAAAGTGAATTCTTACCCCAGTTTTCTCATCAATGATTTTTATTCCAGAAAGAGAAATATTGACCCAGATCCTTTGCTTGTGTTGTCCCTGAGACCGAGCAGCTGCCGCCATTCCCTGATGACATTGGGAGAACAAGAAAAACTCTAGTTAAAAGCACCCTATGATGCTTCTGACTCTAAAGTTTTAAAAGATAATCAGCTTTGTTTTCAGCTTGGTTTACCATCTACGAAAGGATTAAGCATCTTTCATAACAGATAGAAGGATTAAATGGAAGACAGCGAGCCAAGAGATCACTAGTTAGCTATGTGAACTTGGGCAAGTCCTTCTAATTCCCTTGGCCACTGAAGAGTCACTGGCAAAGACAAGAAGATTGGACCAGAAGATCTTCAAATGTCTTCAAAGATGTTCCTTCTAGGCCTTGTCTTATTTAATGAGTATTACTTCCTTAATGAGGTTTGTAGTGTGGCAGGATTAGAATTTAAAAATTTAAATAAACCTAAAGGACTAACACTATATAACATTTATTTCAAAGTAGAGTTCTGAGTTTTACCCGAATACCTCCAGGCTCTGAAATTTGGTCTGCTTAAAGGAAAAGGCATCTAGGGTCCTGCTGTACATGACTGCATGCTAAGTTGCTTTAGTTGTGTCTGACTCTTTGCTACCCCATGGACCATGGCCCACAGGCTCTTCTGTCCATGGGGATTCTCCAGGCAAGAATACTGGAGTGGGTTGCCATGCCTTCCTCCAGGGAATCTTCCCAACCCAGGGATCAAACCCCAGTCTTCTGCATTGGCAAGCAGGTTCTTTATCACTGAGCTACCAAGAAAGCCATAAGTAAATACAGACTTCTAATATCACTCCCTCTGTTGGACATTTGCTTAACATAGCAACAAATTATCCTTTCCTCTGTTACCTTTAGTTTCATCATGGAATCTTGGCTCATTTTATCCCCTCTTGCATCTGGCACATCATCAATGCCAATTAGCTTGGCCTTGTATTTCACACCATCACCTTTGAATCTTGCCAAAAGATATTCATCTGTCTTTTCGGTGCCTGAGAAAAGAAAAAGTTAAAGGATCAGGTTTATACATGTGCTGAAATATCAGCCCCAGGTATGACCAGAAATGTAGTTGAATCTAAAAATCTGAGTTACATAAACCTTGATCATACTACAATTGATCAATGCAACATTCCACCATTATCCTTATTTCCTCTGAGTTAAAAAAAAAAAGAAAAAAAAACACTGTGTAAAACTGTGTATGGCATTGGGGTGGAGAGAAAATAAACTCTTAATGACGCAGAATGGGCTGAATTATAGGAAACTTATGGAAATATGTGAGATAGGATTGGGGGATATTCTGGGATATTTGTCATGATAGTTATAAAAATATTTTTTAAAAAGAATATAAGGAGGATAATACTTTTTCTAATAAAAGGAAAATAAGCTACTGCACAATTTACTAACATTTTCTAACCATCAATAAAACAGAAGAGAACTATGGGTAAATTCCCTTGAAAACCATTAAGATGATTATTTCATCAATATAACTTCTTTTGCTTTTATTCTCATTCCCATTCCTAAAGCATGGATGTGAAAGGCAAAGAAATCATGGCATATTCTCAAACTATGAATGATTAAGGATGCTGGCACTTTCTAGTGGTACTTTTGTGTCAAAAGAAGAGGGTCTTATAAAATAAAGATCTTGATTTTTATAATACAGCTACTTCAGTAAAGCAAAATTGTACATAGGTTACTGAAAGATAACCATGTAATACTTGACAGTTGCATTTTCCAACTGAATAATATCTATGAAAGTTTCCCAGCAGGATCCAAGTTGAGGCAATTACTGGGTTCATATATATATATACACATATATATAAACACACATATATATACATATATATAAGTATATATACGTATATATATGTATATATATATGTCTTATCATAGAGGAATTGAACCAATCTCCTCTGCAAAAGTCTTATTTTCATATTTAGGAGAACTTGAGACTTGGCTGAGATTGAATCAAGGCAAGGATCAAATCTTACTTTCCCTTGAACTTCATCCTTCTTCACTGGTAACCACCACTAACTCCCCTCATAGGGCTCAAGATTTCTCCATACCTTTCTTCTTTTCCTTCTTGGATGGGGCCTTTGGTGCAGCCTGTTGGTCAGGCTGACCATTAGTTGCGCTTGTTTCTACTTCGTTAGACATGGCAAGAAGGCAGACGGCCAACTCCAGCACCAGCAGACTCTTAGTGACAGCAGGCGATCCCTGATGGAGTCGTCTCAAACAAACATAACCTGCTGCAGACACCTGTGGGCAGAGTTTGGAGGCACAATGAGATCATAACACAGCAAACCCAGACTTTAGGTCCTAACAGGCCCACAACCAGTGACTTCCGAGTGTAGTTCTTCAGACTCATTTTGTTCTTACTTCTCTGTGAGACGGAACTCTGACAGCACAGGAGTGGGTAGGACTGCTTCCTTTGTAGTTTCCAAAATGGAAAGAAGGTATTTACTAGGTTTTATTTAAGTAATTATTATCTGGTAATGTGATTATAGGTATGACTCCTATGTACAAAATAAACAAGCTATGAGGATATATTGTATAGATGGGAAATACAGCCAATATTTTATAATAACTATAAATTGAGTATAATCTTTAAAAATTGTGAATCACTATGCTGTACATCTTAAACATATAGTGTTGTAAATCAACTATATCTCAGTAAAGTAGAACTGTTATTATCTGGCTAAGAAATTCGTACTGAACTTTGGATAAAAAGCTAGTATTAAAGATAGGGATCAATATATGTCACATGTAGGGGCTTCCCTGGTGGTCCAGTGGTTAAGATTCTGGGCTTCCACTGCAGGGGGCACAGGTTCGATATTTGGTCAGGGAACTAGACCCCACGTGCCACAGCTAAGAGCTCACATGCTGCAGCTGAAAGAACCTACACGCTGCAACAAAGATGCTGCATGCCACAAATGAGAACCAGCACAGCCAAAGAAATACAAATTGCAAAATTCTTTTAAATTTCAAAAAAATGTTCTCACTGAATGAATATACTTTGTGCTATTATTTAGCATTATTATCCTCTAAACAGCTTTCCAGGTGGCACAGTGGTAAAGAATCAACCTGCTAATGCAGGAGATACAAGGGACATGGATTTGATCCTTGGGTGGGGAAGATCCCCTGGAATGATAACCCACTCCAGTATTCTTTCCTGGAAAATTCCATGGACAGAGGAACCTAGCAGGCTATAGTCCATTGGGTTGCAAAGAGTCGGACACAACTATGCACACACAGGGGTGGGGGCTTTCAAAACCATCTAGAATGTTCTCCATAAAGCTCCCCCATGTATCGCAGCAGGTAAAACAAAAAAGCAAAGTCATTGCAAGCACACAGAAGTGAGTTAGCATTTCAAAAGGTTCTTTCGCCTCTCAGGAGTGAACATTTCTATACTGCACCAGAGAGAGAGCTAGGGAAGGTTAGCTTTCTATGTGAACTGAAGACAAAAGGCAGAGAAAAGCCACTCACAGTGTGGAATCCTGAGGAACACTTATGGGCTTGGCCACTAGTCTCACCCCAAAAGCTAGCTTCATTCTTTGCAATTTTAATAGTCTTTTGAAACACATACACACACACATACATAAAATCTATGTATGGTTAATGTTTTCTGAATTATTGCATTTGAAGATTTAGTAGTTGTCTTTGCTCAAAGACACCTGACTGGTAGGTACCTAGGGAGACAGTCTATTTACAGGTAACAACATTAGGAGACTTGAAGTCCTATTTACCCATGACTTAGTTGGAGGCCAGGCACCATTAGCCCTTTAACCGCATTAACTCCATAACACTCATGGTAACCCTGTGAGTAGTATGATGCAGTATTATTTCACTTTTCCAGAGGGGAAGCCAAGGCACAGAGGTTTTAAACAACGCAGCTGCTGAGTTAAAACCAGGTCTCCAATCTAGGCTGTCTGGCCCCAAGCCAGAGTTCCTCAAATGCTACACTGATGAGTCTCATACGGGAAACCTCATGTTGGCTGCAGAGATGTTCTATTACATACTTGTAGTGTACTTCACCTCCCCCAAAAAAGATCCATCCAAGTCCTGACCCCTGAACCTTTGTATGTGACCTTATCTGAGTAAAGGTTATTTGTAAGTGTCATCAAGTGAAGGCTTTTGAGTTGGGATCATCCTGGATTTGGGAGGGTCCTAAATTCCATAACTAACGTCATTATAAAAGAAAGGCAAGGGGAGATTAGAAGCACAGAGACACACTGCAGAGGTGATGTGACTACAAAGGTAGATATTGGATTGATGCATCTACGAATCAGGATGACCAATGTCCTGCAGATGCTGAGACAGACATGCAATGAATACTCTCTCAGCACCTTCAGAAGGAATAAATCCTGATGACATATTAATTTGGGGCTCTGGCCTCCAGGACCATGAGAGAATAAATTCCTGTTGTTTCAAGTAACCCAGTTTTTGGTAATTTGTTGCGGCAGCCCTTGAAAACTAATACAACACCTCTGTTTTTTTGTGTGTCTTGGTTGATTTCTAGTGGTTCCAAGATTTATTTTCCAGCAATGTGATAAATCTCCTAGTCATATTCCTAGTCTTCTAATTTCAGGAAGCCAATAATAATGCTCTTCTTTCAAATCAAGAAGATATTTCCCCATGTTAACAACATCAGGAAGTGAGACCAAGCTCTGATCTAAGGAGAAATATCAACATCCATCCTCCTGCATCCTCAGCTTCTCCCCTTGGGCCCTTTCCTTTCTGAGTTGCTCATCGTATCTTAGAAATAAGGAAAACACTTCCATGTGACCCCGCAGTCCTCCAGTTACCACTTCATGATTTAAACATCTAAAATTGATGCTCTCTTCCTCTCAAAGGACTATTCATCTTAATGCTAATCTCAGAAAGTCAACTCCAACTGCTAATGGCTCTTCTGACCAAATCCAATTACTTTGCTTTCATTCTTTTGAGCGTATCTGACGGCATGCATCACACATCAATACCTTTTTGTGAGCCCCTTTCCCCCCCATTTTTTCTGCTCCCATGACAATCTTGAAGTTCCAGTCCATGGCTTATGTTCACTGAATTAGGATAATCTGAATTTTTTCTTAATGAAGGCATTCTAAATTAAAGTAAAGCTTCTAAAGTAAAGCTTCCCCACTTAATCTTGGGCCTCCTCTTGCACTTAGGACAAAGATTGAGACACTTTCATTTTATATTAAATATTTTACCCCTTGTTGTTTCTGTCGTTCAGTCGCTAAGTTGTGTCCGACTCTTTGCAACCCCATTAACTGCGGTACACCAGGTTCCCCTGCCCTTCACTATCTTCCGGAGTTTGTTCCAATTCATATTCCTGCATATCTTTAATATCCTTTTCTTTCATTCTTATATAGAAACCCCAATATTTCTCACCTCTTTCAGAAATTTTTTCCTTTTTGACTCCTTTCCTTTGCGAATTAGAAGAGCTGCCTTATCTCTCATTTTCCTACCCATTCCTGCTACTTGTTTGCCCCTGAAGACTTTCACTCCTTCCTGCCCAATTCTGGCAGGAAAGAACCTGGCATAAGAATTTGTTGCCCCATCTTTGAAGTCTAATATCATACTTTTCTGTAGGATATTATTGCTGACAAAAAAGCTCATTAAACACAGCAAATTTTATTCAAAAGTGAGTATTTTAAAGGAATTTGAGAAATGCCACAAAGCATTTTGAGGGGGCTTGGGAGAGGGAATGGCGGTGTGTGGTTTAGTCATAAAAATGATACAAGACATAACAACCTTATAACTCAAGACCAGGCATTAAATCTGGTGTCAGCAGACAGCTTTCAAAATGGAAGAGGTCTACAGTGAGTCGTGCTACCATGGTTTTACAGCAAAAAGTTCTCTTGTTAGACACTGAAGTTCAACATTCATAGCATTAGGGTTGTTTTAAGGTACTTGGTATTCTTTGACTATATCCTTTCATGGTTTGGGGATGAGCAGTTACAAGGAACAGGGGAGAAAAAAATGGGTATAAAATGTTCCTTTAGCATCTTAGCATATTTTTTGAAGAAAAGGAATGTGTCTGTTGGGTTGTAATAGCCAAGGGCAGGTCTCTAATGCAGGCCATACAATTTAAAAATTATCTGTGCTCCCCGAAATGATTGGAAGGTAGATTTTGCCCACAGGCTCCAGACTCAAAGATAAATCTCTTTATAAAGAAACATCAAAGGTTTACTGAAAAGTTTTTAGCCAAAGTGTACAACCAGTTATGTGTATAAGAGAATGATAAACACTCACCTTTCTCCACAGGTTTAAAGAGAAATTCCCTCATCACAGACCTCCCAAATGCCCAAGTTACCATTTGACCTGCGGGAGACAGAGGAAGTCTTGCTTCCAGACTGAGGTCCCTCTGTACGAATAATCAACTTAAATCCAGTGTTTAAAATTCAAATGCATACTCCTTCCAACAATGTTACATAATTGTCAACTGTGCTCATAAAACCTCTAATAGGTTTTATAATGAATTGATTTTTGGGAAGGCTTTGGGCCTGAAAAAGGAAGCTGAGGACCAAAAGAGACCCTACCATTTCCTGTGACTGCTTTCCCAAACTAGGGTATTGTTGAAAGAAAAAGAAAACAAAAAAAAAGGCATCTATTTTAAAGCTCTAGTAAGGTAAAAAAGATTTTTAACTTTTATTTTTAAAGGAGAAACACTGGGGGTAGGACAGCCAGCAAGGATAGTCCTTCTGACTAAGGACCGAAAGTTAATCAGGAAACACATACAAAGGATGCTATCATAAAACATGGATTACTAATAAAGTCCAAAAACATAATCAAAAAGTCACATGGACTGCCCCCTCACTTCATCTAAACCTAGCTGGTTTATTATTCTAGTTCTTAGGAATGATCTGTTTACTTCTTTAGAAGCCCAAGAATAGAAATAAGATGATACATCTGAAAACAGATGAGAATCTAAAGTTACTGTATATTTTGACCCCTTTTTAAGGTCTAATACAGAATAGAAAGTTGTAAGTGAAAACTATGCTAAGTCAAAAAAATGAGCTTCATTTGAGTGAAGATCTCTAACTTGGATTTTGGACTTCATGCAAACCATGTGGGGACTTCCCCTTTCCACAGCACAAGAATCAGATGATCAGGAGACATTTTGCAACATTTTTTGTTTTTTTGGTTTCTGAGAAAGT